AGCATTGGAGGATTTGCAGGATATTGTATTGGGCAAATAGTCAAACACCTCCTGGTTGAAGAATACAGTCATCTGTCAGCATAGGACAAATGAAATGTGGTTGCGGTAATCCAGGCCAAGAGTGGATCTGTGGCATTGAAATCCACATTGATCATTCAAAAGAAAGTATCTTCTCTCAGGTATAAGGCTCCTTTGCCTTACACCATCATGGCTATGTGAATTTGCCATACTACTTTTATGTTAATGGAAAAACCAAGGATAATATCTTCTGGGACTGTTGGTAAAATTAAAACTCTATGTTACTATTCAAATTGGGTACCTGTTCGGTTTTTCTATGCATCACTCGTAAATACATTTTTAGTACCCTAGTACGCTTTTCTAATGGTCGCAAAGTATCTTAAAGCTTGTGCTGCGTCACAGTGGCGAGCATGGACGATTGCTGGGCAGGAAGGGAGTAATATGCCTTGTGAGCTATCCCTTCCCCTTCCGGTACCAAGGTTGTAACCACAGATAATACCAATTCTGAGAACAGTAACAGTGTATGTTCGTATTAATCTATGGTAAGTATAACTATATGGTGCTGCCTCTAGTAGCAGTCTTTGTAACGTAAGCTATAATGCTAGTGCCTCTTGTGCTAAAGTTTAGAACTACAGTGAGCTGCCTGCTGCTATCTATGGCCTGCAGAGCCCAGCTGAGCGGGAGGAAGGTCGGGAGCTTTCCGGTTTTCTGTAGTGTTTTGGGGGATAGGGGTAAAAAGTGATCCACATAAAACAAAACAATTAACACGACAGAATAAACATGGATCCGGAAGCATTCCTTGACCTAGCCAACCAGGTGGTCAAGTTGAAAATGTACCCATATTTTGACATCGCTCATTCAGTCCTGTGTGCTCTACACGTTCGTGAAGATTTGGGACCAGGTAAGTGAATGTGTCTCGATGGTCCGCGATCCTCTGGGAAGCTGCAGAGAAAGGGTTGCGTCAGTTTCAGCCATTTCAAGCATTACTGAGTGCAGTGTGAATTATTGAACTAATTAATGCGTGTGCAAAACTGATATTAAAATTTTACCCAAATTCTTTAGCAGCAGGCCATGCAGGTTTATAGGAAAGGTGTTTTTTTAGTGTAAGAAGTTTTTCAAACTTTCACTCTTTAAATGTGAAAGCTATTTCACATGCATTAAGATTTATTAGTTATTTTTATTTTACCAAATAACTTTTTTCGCACTGTTCTAGAAAGAATTTATGATCGAACGGGGCTTGATGTTATTGTTATGTGTTTAGAGAAATTCATTCCCATCACACCCAAGATTTTGGTGGCAAATATGTTTTAGTTAAATCTGGAGTAACATTCGCTTAGGTTTCCTGATCGATCAAACTCCACTTGTCATGTAACGCCAACCTGGTTGTCACGCACGGTTGCGCCAAACGGATCAATCATGCATGAAACACCCCTTTATTGATCCTTTTTGGTCATGTACTAAAAAGAAAACTATGGCTTATTTCTTTATCGGTTATATTTTTAATCTAATACATGGTACGTTGGTTAATAAAGTAACATTTGCGTATTAAAATACACAATTTTATTATGTGTTTGGGTTTAGCGCTGTGCTTTGAGTGTCTTTATATTTTCCCCATGACTACCGAATTACTATATGTATATAAAAGTAAAGTAAAGAAAAGCCTTCCCGCTACACGCCATGTAGGTCGTTTCGGGGGGGGGG